GGAAGTTGCTCAGTCCTCCTTCAGCCCTCCTTAAAGCTAAAAACTTACCAAAATCAGCTCGTCTCCAGCCAATTCTCTTGTCCAGTACGTTTTGGGGCCCTCCCCTTCCAGAAGCGTCTGCTTACAGTAGAGCTTGTTTTCATTCTCCCAAGTGGCTAAACTCTGCAGGCAAAGATGGCCCCTCTCCCATGGCAGACGGGAGGGGGGGGCAGATATTAGGATAATGGTTGCAGTCAAGGAAATGGAGAAGCTGCTGACAGCAGCCGCTTCCATGCCTGCAGAGGAGTTTCCCTCCGTGCAGCCGGTGACAGCCAGAGCAGAACGCCCCGTTGAACTTCGTGGGAAGCTCAGAACGGCCTACCTTTAACCTCCAGCACCTCCGGCCAGGGCTGGGGAAAATGTAGGTCTGAAACTCTGGGGAATGAGAAAAATCTGCTGGTCAGATCTGGTGGTCGGGCAGATTTTTCTGCGTCTGAAGTTCCAGACCTCCCAGAACGTATGCTTCATTTTCCCCTGGAAACATCCCAGACAGACTTTTATCATTAAAAAAAAAAAGTATTTAATGCCAGATTGCATCACATCAGATTCAGTAAACAAGCCCAGCCAAGGAGAAAATTTTTGCCCGGTTGGATTCCTTCAGCCCAAAGGGCTGGCTGGATGTTCCTTTGAGTTTGTGGAAATTGCTGCTCCAGGCGTCAAAGACAATTACATTCTATTTTTTTTTATGTTGAATTGATCGTTGAATCAAGCCGCAACCCACATTAAACAGTGTATGAATCTTCTGATAGTTTCCAGCACCATGACTTATTCCTCTTGTGGATTCTTTTCACACACCACACCTCGTTTAACTCTTTCACAATGCTGCTCCCCGTCTCCCCATTCACGGTCTTCACCTAGGGCTTCAGATCTACTCATTATCCTCCTTTGCAAGTGGGATGAAAAAACTGCAGTACCCCATTCCCAGTCTTACATCTGCTCTCCCCAAGGCTTCTTACTCCTCCCCAAATGCTATCTTCCCCTACAGAAGTCGCTCTGCCACCGTTCTGTGAACGATGGCGATGTCACCAAAGGTGTGCCATTTCAGCTAATCAGCGCTGAAGTCTTGGCTATTTCTCCTGCCACACAGATAGGGTCTTGGCTTGACCAAGACAGGCTGCCGATCTGAGGTTGTTTGGTGACTCTAAGGCTGGCTGGGGAATTCTGGGAGTTGAAGTCCACACCTCCTCAAGTTGCCAAGGTTCAGAGACACTGCTCTATGGCCATTTCTGCTGCAAGTGTTTTTCTGGTTCAGTTCCAGTGGGAATTAGATACAAGTGCATACCAAATAAAAACACATCTGCTATTCATCTCTTTGAGAAGAAAAGAAAGTAGGAAATCGGGCCTCAATGGCCAACGTTCTATCTAGTCCAGCATTCCAGTTCCCCAACAGCTTCCAAGAAGTGCACCCAGAAATGCTTCTCCTTCCAAGAAGTGCACCCTAAGATGTGAGGGCAATAGGCTATCACTTGTTTAGCCAAATGGCATCTAGTCCCACCCGAGATGCCATTGGTAGGGCATCTAGTCCCACCTTAGACCCAGTGCCAAGTGGATGACCTTGGGCCAGTCCCTCTCTCTCACCCCTGGCAAGAAGCAGGCAAGGGCAAACCATTTCTAAAAACCTTGCCAAGAAAACTCTAGGGACTGGTTCAGTCAGTCACCAGGAGACCACACTGACTGGAAGACACACCTACACAAGACTTAGGAACATTGGATCATCATTACAAATTGCTTTGTTGGGGAGGGTGACCCCTAAATTCTGATTGAGACAGAGAGAATACCCGTTGATTGCAAGGGAGAGAACGTCAAAAAACACCATCACTTTGCCAGCAGGATCAGCAATCAGCTGCTAAGGTTCCCATCCATGTCTTCCCCCACAAGCAAGAACCTACATCTGTAAAAATGTTCCCCAAAGCCAAATGTTAAATTAAAAAAAAGGTCATCGATTGCCACGCTGGGAAGTTCCTGTCTTTCCCACTTTGTGACTTTCATTCCTCAGCTTCGCAAAAACGCTCTGCCAACAGAAAGGAATTTCTGACGTGCGAACCTGACGCGAGGGGCATGTTGGATGAAGCCGTGGAGGGAAATCCCAAGGCCAGGCCAGCAGAGAGGGAGTTCCAGTGTCCCGGCTCCCTGGAGGCTTCGCTGCCGGGGAAGCAATAGCAAAGCCTGTGTGCCCGAGAGCCTGACGACTCAGCCCACAGAATCAGTTAGTACAGCTAATGGAGGGGGACCGTGTTTTGGAGACGATCCCGGTGAGGAAGTGGGAAATGTTTTGCGGCCCTGGTTTGCCCACAAAGAATAACAATCTGGGTTTTTTGTTTTTCGTTTCAAGGAAGCAGCCCCATAGTTTGTGGCATGTGGAGAGAGAGCAAAGACTTCTAGACTTCCCTATTCTGAGGGTGTGCATGCGTCTGGGTTTAAGGTGCACAGGACGCCAACATTTATCTGCCTTCCCAACCTGTTGGGAACGGTATTCTCGCTCCCACTGAATTATGTGAATTATGGAGATCATGCTGCTTCCAAAAGTTGGGGAGGCAGCGATCTTTAGGTTAGGCACCATCACAGTGTGATGTTTGGGGCTACCTGGGGTCAACTCATTCCCTCAACCCTGCTCCCAAGGGATTCTGCATGGTGCTTCCAGCACATTTTCTGGAGACACCACTGTCCAATCACTTAGCATGGCTTCAAGAAGGTCTCCTAGAAGACCACAGCCAAACACTTTTGTGTTGTTCCCAGGTAGTTCCAAGGAACTGATCTGGACTGGAGGGCACCTTTCCCTCAGGAGGACCTAATCCCCAGGAGGGTTGCCATGTTCTAGGAACATTGCCTTCCACCCCAAGGCTCAGCCTTGGAAAGAAGAGGCCCCAAGGCCCATATCTTCTTGAATTTCCAGCGGGACTCTTTGCCTCGGAAGAGGCCACCATGGACCACCTTACCCTGCATTTCCGCCCATCTACTGTCTCCTCCTCAAAGCTCTCCCCCACTTTGAAGTTGATCTCAGTGGTGCGGACGGTGGTGGAGGTCTTGATGTAGAACTGGTCCCCATCCTGGCGGATCTCCACATGGGGCTTCGAGGCGGCGGCCACGGCGACTTTCCTGAGCATGGCGTTGACCCCTGGGCAGAGAAGGGTGGGAACAGGACAGTGAACCCCTTCAGCGCAAGAGAGTCTAAGCAGGTTTCCTTGAGGGCGAGGGCCCCTTGGCCACGGGCACCTGGGTCCCCCCCTCTCCCTTCAGTCTACATCCTCTTTTCCGGGGTAGAGAAGGGGGGACCTAAGAGTGCCGAGGGAGCGCAGGGCAGCGGCGCTCCCAACCGGGCCACGCTCGCTCCGGTCCCGGCTCCAGCCGTCGCCCCGCGAGCCGTTCCCGAGAGCCAGCCGCGAGGATTCCCAGAGCCCTTCAGGAAAGGTCCTCTGGCCCCGTTCCCACGCGCCGCGGAC